TGTCCTATTACTCCACTTATTGAGACACAAAAAAGTGTCTAAACTATTCATTTTTGTTGTAGTGAGTATGTTCAATTAAAAGAAATGATCTCATTGATTTGGCCAAAAATGGGCATGCATGAAACCCTAACTGAGCAACAAAGAAACGATAGTTTTCGGAATAAAGAATCTCTTAATCCTTTCTTCAAAATACCTATTAGAAGATTTTTTCAAAAAACTTACCCAGCTAAAATACAGATTAGTAAAAAAACAAAAATGTCTTCCAGTATACATGATATATATATATATATGAACATACAAAAACTTATATTATAACCAACAAAAAAGATTGAATTGAATAAAGATTGTCTTAGCTTCCTTTTGAGGTTTTCCTTCTTTTGTGTACAATTATAAAAGTTTCAGGAACTGGAATTACGTAAATGATGGGGCCTTCTCTGGTTGGGAAGAGAAGAGAAGAGAAGGTCGGCAGATGAAGTAGGAAAAAAAGAAGATGACTAATCATCCTTCAAATGACCCTACCCTTAAAAAAAAAAGATGTTAATAAAGCAATAAATTTGTTAAAGATCAAAAAGAAAGTATACAACCAACAAAATAATAATGATAATAAATAAATAAAGAAATAAAAATCACTTCAATAAAGTTTCCTTCGTGGGGTGGATTTCTTTATGTTTAACCTCTCTACGTAACGCAAGCAAAGCATATTTTAAGAAATGGTTTTTTTTTTTTTTTTTTAAGGTTAAATTGGTGGCCCTTTTGAGATCTTTCAAGGGTTTGTTCCAATGTGTTTGCAAATCGTATTCTCAAAGTCCTTCAATACTTCTCCACTAATAAAGAATTGATTTTTAACCTTTCACTTTAAGTAAATGCCACATTAAGTAATCTTAAGCGCACCTAGTTGCAAACAGACCCTAGTAATTATTACCGAACACAAGTTTGCCATTAAGTAACACAAATAGTATTTCACATATAAAGGGGGACATATCTCATGAAGCTAGCTTAATTAGGTTGATTTCATAGATCTTTAGACTGGAAAACTCTTACTCCCTCCGACCTTAATATAAGGTATTTTACTTTGTCTTAAATTTCACCTAATATGTCTTAAGTTTCGCCTAATATGTATTTTTAATCGGAAAAAAAATTTTAAAAATATATTTTCACATTCATCGTGTTTTTTTGATAGTTCAGAAATATTTTTATGGTTCTTTTTATCAATTAAAAATGTATACATGTACTGGTGATTGACTACTCCGGTATAATGATATAGGAATGAATATCAGGTGCCGCTTATTATTATTTTCTTTTAAATCTCATTTGCTTTCAAGAAAAGCATCCATTTTAATAAATTAACTGATATTAATGTCTCCTGTAAAATATCTGTTTGTGATTAGGGTGATTTGTTGTCAATATTAAATTGTGATAATTTAAACTCGGTACGGTGAACTCTTCTAAACTCTCTTTGAGTACTTTTCCGGATTATATTTACCCTATCAAAAGAAAAAAAAAACTAGTGATTAGTACCCCAAGATTTTTTAGGTGATAGATAGTTTGGTTGGTTTAATGGCCATTATTTTCAGTGGAAATCATGTTACAAAAGCCATAAACTTGATAATCTATAATTGGCGTATCAAATTTTCAACGTGACAACTTGCAATTTATTTTGTTTCTTGGGGCACCTTTTAAAACCTTTATCTTTGTTTTTTTGCCCTTTTCCCCTTTAATTTTATATGCTAGTCTGATTCAAAACTTTCTCTTTCGTTTCCCATTTGTATAAAGAAGCTCCAAAGAAAAGCAACACCACTAGGGCACTAACTGGGGTATCACTCTATTAAATATTTTTACTTGCTCGATTTATTTGGTCTTATATGTCATTTTGTGTGCGGAGGGAAAATGCATTAACTTTGTATTTTAGCAGGAATTACATTAAAAAAAACCTGGAATATACAATATGCCCAAAATAACATATTAAAAACGACTACAAAATGTTCTAGAAAAAAAAAACTTGGGAAAACATTTTTTAATTAATTAATTTGGTGATAATGATTTTTTTTCCCACACGAGATGATGCTTGCTTTCTGCATACATGCATTTTCTTTTTCAAAAGGCCTGGATGATTGGAGAGGGGTCCTCATTTTCTTGACCATCTAATTTAGCAAGAGCCATCTTGTATAAATATATAATACCAATAAAATTGGATGTTGAAAGATCAATTATTGAACAAAAATTGCAATCAATAATGCTCTTCTTCCTTATAATTATTATTCTTCATGTCGTTAAAAGTCAATCAACAAAAAGTTTTTTGTGTTGCGTTCTCAACTTTTTTTTTTTTTTTGGTGGTACCTATGATATATATGTACGTGTACGTGATTGAATTTTTTCCCATCAAGAAGCCATAATATTAGTTCCCAAACCCTAATTGCGATTTCAGTATTGACTCACCATGCTTTAATCTCCAGGAAGTAATAATACAAGTTCATGTAAATTCATTTCTAAATTGTATCTGTATGCACATTACATTTGCTCATGATTTGTTAATGTAATTATGATAATTATCCAGGAGCGCGAATTGTATAATACTTTCTCAACTCGGGTTAAAATTCAATTCAGTATTCATCATGTTCATAAACTTACTAAGCTCCTACAATTGAGACTTCAATCTGTTCACATTTTGCATAAACCTAATCAAAACCAAATCAGTTTCTTCGTACCAATTTGCATAATGAGCGATATTTTTATTTTTTCCTTCTTTAATTATTATTGTTATTGACAAGTCGCTTTATAGCGAGAGATATTGTTATATCATCAATCACTAAAATTTTGATGACCTAATTGTTGGACATCATAAATCAAATAGAATCTTATATAAGATTTTATATTTTCAAGACACAATGATTGGTCTACGTTGTACACTAGCTATCTTCTGAAAAAGAATTTTTTTTAAAAATAAAAATAAAAAAATTATTAGGGTTAAGTCATTATACATTCTGGGTCCTGGCAAGACGCAATCTTATTTGGACACATTATGAATTGTAGCTTGCCCCAACCAGAATGCGAAACCTGTTACGATCAACAAAGAAGCCAGAGAAATTTCCCCCAATTTTCTTGGGGAGATTTAAACCATGCACTCTAACAAAGAAAAGATTTTAGTAAATTGACTCAAAAGAAAAAAAAAATTAAAAAGAAAAGAAGGAAAGAAGAAAAAAAACAAAAAAGGGATGAAAAAAGCCATATATATATACGTAGAGAATTAAGGACACGTGAATGCATGAGAAGGTCGTACTCGATCCTATCCATCAAGATCAAACTTTCATTTGGCATCAACTGGCTATCTTCTGTCACAATTGATTGTTAAATTTGACAATTGACATCAAGACATTATACAAGTACACTTTGTGTCATAAAAAAGTATAAAAACAAAGAACCCACCAAAGGAATCGAACAAAAAACATATTCAATCATTGAATAATCTAAAAATTCTAATGATATGAAAAAACGAATGGATAAAGACCATAGAAATGGAGATCGATCACATTAGCTGCATGTGTACTTTGAGGCTATAATGCAAATGATTTCTTTTGTACCAAGGCCAGCTGCATTGATCAATTATTTGATTAAAAAGTTAAGCAATTATACCTACCAGAGAAGATTGTTGATTTGGCTTCAAAAATTTGCTGTGAAAGCACTAAGCCAATTATAACATTTTGTTCAGTTTGGTGACGAAAATCAAAGAAAGTTTGTATCTCTCTATGAAGATCTAATGCTGTTTTTTTTTTTTAAAGCAATTTTGCTAGATCTTTTTTAAGATCAGAGTTGTACCTCTGTCTCAGATGATAAAGCGTTATACTTTCTCTGTCTCGAAATTATTGTCTAGTTTGGATTTTCATTCTCAGTACAAACTGAACTAAAAATAAAAATCCAAAATGAACAATAATTTAAGACACAAGGAGTATATGCTTTGTTGAACGGAAAATAGTCAGAATTGTAAGTCCAGGGGTTGTATGAGTAGTTGTTCTTCTAGATAGAAAATATTCTTAGAGAGTCATATGAAACGCTAGATTCACGTTTTCATACGTACGTTACTTAAAATGAAAGGGTCATCCCATGAATAGCTTTAAGAAAAAGAGACTAGCATTATTTCAGAGAGTTCAAAAACCTTTTCTTATCAGTAGAATTGCCAATTATTGAGGCTAAAGTAGAAGTCTTTAGTTTAAGAAGTTTGAGTCAAAATGAGACATTGTCCAAAATTTAGGTGGTTATATGCGCTGTTTTGAGGGTGTATTTGTTGTATATTATATTAGTTATTAAGGTGGACAAGAGCAGTTTCGCATCTTGTAAAGATTCTGAGTTATTCTAACTCCTGTACCTGATACATAATAAATTAGCTAGTTGACTGTATTTGATAAAAAAAAAAAAGCAATGAATATCACTTCTTCTTTTACCATTTTTTTCTTAATTAATGTGTTCTTGGAACAGTTGTCAGTTTTGAAGCCTTTTTGAACCTCTCTCCCCTTTTACTACTTTATATAATAGTAGCTAGTCAGATTGGATTAAGTTTCCTTTTTGATCGATGCAGTGCTTCATTATTTGTGTGTCATTTGGCCATAAATATTTCAGAGTAGTATCCAGCTTCAAGATTCTTAAAAGGGTTCAAACAACTACTCAAAAATTCAGTGCTTTGCTCCATCATCACAAAACCAAAATAGTAAAAAAGCACAAGAAACTTGAGCTGCTTTGTTTCGCAATTTCGCGGAACTGTTGTCACCTTTCAAACCTGATCATCAGCGCTTGAACGTTGAATGCAATGAACAGGTACTGCTGTTTTTGTCATCCCTGAATTCTGCTGATTTAAGTAGCTGAACTTCCTGGTGTATCATTAGTTTTAAGTTTCATTAGTTTCTGACCTTTTTAGTCTGTCAACTAAATCTTTTCCTTCATGAGATTGCAGTTGAGGATAAGGTGATTGGCTAGCAAAAGTTTGAAGGTTAATTACATAGGCTTAGAGTATGGCTTCGTCGACTCAATTTGCGCCGTCCAGGAGGATGGATATATATGATCCAATGCACCAAATGAGCATGTGGGAAGACACATTTAGAAGTCATATTAATCCAAATAATACAGGAGTTTGCATATTCCCTAAAGGAGAAGAAAGACTAATTGAAAAGGTGAAGCTCTAATATCACTATGGAATTGCTGAACTGTTGATAAAAATATTTCTGTACCCTGATCTCTTGATTTTTTACATGAATTCTGTAGCCTGAATATACATCTCAGGAGCCTTTAATGCCTCCTTTAGATAGTCAAGCAGCAAGAAGTATTTCGGATAAGGTAAAACCTGATCTTTCTGTTGGTTGTTTAAACAAATTTCAGCTGAAAACTCAGAAACAAGTCTGTATAAAGTCTTTGAATAAGTGTTGACATCTACTGCAGGTACGACGACGCCTTGCACAAAATCGCGAAGCTGCAAGAAAAAGCCGACAACGGAAAAAGGTGCTGCAGAGTATCTCCTTGTACTTGGTGAAGTGTTCTTTATAGTGAATTTGTGCTGACAGGATTGGAGACTTTCACAGGCTTATGTTCAGCAACTGGAATCCAGCCGATTGAAGCTGGCTCAGTTGGAGTTGGAACTTGACAAGGCTAGACAACAGGGTGCATGTATTGGAGGTGTTGCTGCTACTTTAGGATTGAGTGGAGCTATAAATCCAGGTACAGAAAAGCTTTTTTTCCTTCATAAAAATTTTTATCAACATTTGAAGGAGCAAAATTATGCTTTGGAAGATGCAATTTCTGCATGTTTTTTCTCACAGTGTATGGTTGGCTATATGTTGCCATCTTGCTCTGCCATCCATGATTTCATTAAGATACATATAGGTCTTACTTCGACTTAAAAATTCGAAACTCCAGGCTTTTGGAATTGCTGCTTTTAGACAGCTGGAATTTGTAAGAGAACAAAAAATACTATTGCTTCCTGAGGAAATTCTTGAAATGCAGCAACACAAGTGTTTGGTTGTAATGACTCACATGAGTGAAATTTTTGCAAAACTCTTTTGCTAAAACTCTTTTGAGATTGTTCACTGCTATATTAAAGCCTGGAGAGAGACTTAGTGCACAACTTCGTAGTCCTGCTAGATGTTGATAAGGAGCCTGGATTAAAATATACCCCAAAAGCTTGAACAAATGCAGTTTGTTACCTTGCGGAAACCCTGTTGTTGATCTTGATTGATGGATTTCGGCTTTTTTTTCTCCACAGGAATTGCAGCATTTGAGATGAAATATGGCCATTGGGTAGAAGAGCAAAAAAGAAAAACAGCAGAACTCAGAACTGTGTTGCAGTCTGCAACAAGTGAAATGGAGCTACACATCCATGTACAGAGTTTCTTAAGCCACTATCAAGAACTGTTCCGCATGAAAGCAGAAGCAGCGAAATCTGATGTCTTCTATATACTCTATGGTCTGTGGAGAACTTCAGTGGAGCGATTTTTCCTCTGGATTGGAGGTTTTCGTCCATCAGAGCTTGTCAGTGTATGTATCATTTCATCCAATCCAGATATTACATGATTTACAAAATGGTGTTCTAATCAAGAGATAAATAAACATATAGGTGAGTTTTTGCTTCCTATTAGTCCTTGTGAAGGGGCTGACAGTTATCCGTCTTTCATGACAGATTCTTACGCCAACGCTTGAGCCCTTAACTGAGCAACAATATGCTCTTGTCAGTAACTTGCGCCAATCTTGTCAGCAAGCTGAAGATGCTCTTAAACAAGGTATTGACAAGTTACAACAGAATCTAGTACAAACCATTGCAGCTGATGCAATTGGCGTGCCGAGTTACAGTTCTCAAATGTCACCTGCTGTTGAGATGTTGGAAGCACTGGAGTCCTTTGTTATCCAGGTTAGCTGGCTACATCCATCATTCCACAATGTTTTCACATTACTATGCTTTCTCTAAGGCGCGCGCCAATAGACAAAATGGTGGCTTACCTAGTTTTCGACACTGAAACAGGCCGATCATCTTCGCCAGCAAACACTGCAGAGAATGTCATGCATCTTGACAACTCGCCAGGCTGCAAGAGGATTGCTCGCCTTTGGGGAGTATTTCCAACGTCTGCGCACTCTTAGCTCCCTCTGGGCTGCACGGCCTCGCGATCTCCCTTAACTTTCTGCAGTAGGATTAAGCCGTATTTGAACAGAAATATTTGTTCAGATTTTTTGCTTAGCAGTATCTGTGTACTTATTAAGCTATATATATACCAGCTTTTCATGTATTCAGAATGTGTATACTATGATTCCAAATTAGCAGTAGACTTGTAGCAGTTTATAAATAATACTACTACTACTCTATTTTGCCTATTGATGCAATAATAATGAGAATAATTACTTTTACTAGAGAGATAAACATAAGTTCACTTGGGAAGAACTAGAGGATCATGATCTCAACTCTCATGGACATTGATGTTCTTAAAGCTTTTGTCAAAGGGATACAGAGCATAAAAGAGAAAAATTTGTATGCCACCGTAATTTATTAAATTATAATTTTTGTTCGATCGTAATTGGTACACAAAAAATGAGACAAAACTCGTGTAAGGTAATTCTTTTTATGAATAACCCAACTATGATCACAAGTAACTGGATTCAAACAAAATTTGGTATGCAGAAAAATCAAACTGCAGAAAGAAAAAAAAAATAAAATTAGGCAAACAAAGCAGCCTGAATGAGAAAGACATCTACGTCCAATTTTTGAAATTAGGCGAATGAACTGTGGGCAAAATTGTCAAGTGAGCGAATTTCTTCCTCAACTGTCAACTAAATTTGGAGCCAAACCATCCACAAAATAAACCGTAAATGAAAAGAAACTTTTTTTTTTTTTTTAGATTCACCAAAGAAGATTCCCCATCATTCATCACCTCTTCACTTCCTTCACGACTTTAACCATTCCAAATTTATCATCCGAAAGTTGGAAATAAGCGAAAAGAAAGAAAATTCAAAACCCTTTTGTAGTGAATTCACGACTTGGTTGAAGATTTAAGGAGAAAGGATGGGAAGTTTCAGGGCAGTTTGTAAGCCCCATACAGTTTTTTCATGTTGCCGATCGGTGGTGAAGGTGACGGTTTCAATAAAGAATTCCGATATGGGTTTCCCTGGATTTTCAGCAAAGCGTTCCGTTAAAGTGTTTTTATGCCCTCCCCCTTTGTTGGGAATGGATTCAGCTGTAAAAATGGAGTCTTGGGATGGAAGATGGAGATTGAATCAGCAGCAGAGGAGGATGGCTGTTAAAGCTTCTTCGAATTGGAACGATTCTAAATCGCCGTATGAAACCCTTGGTAATTTCATGGTTTCCCTAAGATGAATGTTTATCTTTGATCATCTAGGTTTTTCCTTTACTTGTGAGCTGAACCCTGTAACCTGTAAATGCCTTTTGTTACTTCATTGTAGTGCTTTTTGGGTTATATTAGATTCATCTCAAAGTGACATTTGTTCTGTTCGAGGAAAGGATGTTGTTTGCTTTCGTCTTGGTTTCGACTTGTTGTCTTCCCTTTGTAGTGTTCCAAAAGTGACCAGTGGATTCTTTGACAACAGAATTGGAAAGGGATGCAGATGAGGAGCAAATAAAGGTTGCTTATAGACGGTTGGCGAAGTTCTATCATCCCGATGGTTGGTTCCAACTGTATCTAGTTTTCTCAATGCATTTAAATTTAATTAGTGTATGTACTATTTCCTCTACATAGATGAAATGTTTAAGGAGATAAAGTTGTCTCGATTTTGCTCAAAACAGAATGCGGTGTTTAGATGTTATCAGGCAGTACGAAGTACACTCTTATCCTGAAAAAAAAAATTCTGTTTCTTCTCTCCTTGATCTCTTTACTTTTGTCCGTCGAATAACATCTCAAGGTCATGTCATGAGCATAATAGCTATCAACTCCTTTCTTTTATGGTGGTGAAGCTGTACTGTATGATGCTAGTATCCATAAATAAATATGGATTCAGAAGGTATATTAGAAGTTAAACTGATTATGACATCTTAACCTATGATACTATTAGATTCTCTTTGCTCCAGGCAAGGGAAATGGCCATAATTAGCTAACTGTTTGTTACTAGCAATGACAAGTTTTGTTGTTTTTGAGTGGTTTCCTTCCTTGATCTTGATGGTTTATCTCCTACTTAATTACAGAGTTTTGATCATTGGTTTAGCTTAATGTCATATGCGCCTATCAAGATTCTGGTGATAAAAGGATTCAATACTTTTTCATTTGCCATGAGAAACATCTGTTAATCTTTTGGAGTTTAATGAGGTTGCTAATGCTTTTACAGTCAAATTTCTGTTTGCTAATCCATTTCTCTTCATCTCTACTAGTTTATGATGGCAAAGGAACTTTGGATGAAGGGGAAACAGCTGAAGCTCGATTTATAAAAATTCAAGCAGCATATGAGCTGCTAATAGATGAGGAGAGCCGAAGGAAATATGACATGGACAATCGAGTGAATCCGATGAAGGTGAAGCTTAGTGTCGGTTTGAGTGTTGAAAAGTATCTTGACCCTCGAATATTAATGCATTGAAAAATTATTTTATTGGTTTTCCATTAGGCTTCTCAAGCATGGATGGAATGGATTATCAAAAAGAGGAAAGCATTCGACCAGCGGGGTGATATGGCCATTGCTGCCTGGGCTGAGCAGCAGCAGCGTGAACTCAATCTTCGAGCACGTCGGCTAGCTCGTTCAAAGGTAGGTGTGTTTTTGCATTTTGTAAGCCCATTTTAGCTGTCTGGAATCTGTAAAGCCGCTGAACTTTTCGATCCTTTGGGAAGGAAGGTGAAGAGAGAGATGGTCAGGAGTCCCACTTTTACTGATCCCTTAAACCTTCATCTGGATGTCGATTTCGTTGGGAAAGTTTGATGAAGATGAATCATTGACATTTTTCATGCACTATACCATTGCATTCATTTCATCTTCATAATCCTGAAAACTCCTAGATGGCAAATCTAGTCATGCTAGATCAATTCCTACCTCGTGGGAGAAAATTTGCTCATGAATGTCGTTGAAGTGACGGAAAGATTGTTGTATGTATCTAATTCACAGCTTCATTACTGAAGCCCTTTGGTTATGTTTTAGCTTGCACTCTTTCGTGTTAAGAAATGTTTGAATTATTGTCCAACTCTAATGGGCTCTCCTTTTTGCTTCCACACCCGTCGAATTTTGTTCATAGTTGTACCATGTAGTTGATTTGCATTTTGAATGGACTTAGATTGATCCTGAAGAAGAAAGGAAAATACTTGCGAAAGAGAAGAAAGCATCTATGCAAAACTTCAACAACACTTTGAGGCGGCATACACTCGTACTGAAAAAGAGAGATTTAATGCGAAAGAAAGCTGAAGAAGAGCAGAAGAAAGTCATTAGCAGGTTATTGGCTGCTGAAGGCCTGGAGCTTGAAAAGGATGAAAATGATGATTTGTGAAGATGGATGCATACAGCAAATATATACTGTTTTCGACCATAAGATTCTTTCTTAGATTTTTAACAACATTTGAGATTTATGTATATTGTATATAAAATAGGAATGAATATTGTTGTATACAGGGATTTCCAGTTTATATATGAAAGATGTATACAGTCAACATTGTTCAACCGAACATGGTTTTAACATTATTGCTAGATTTTCTTCATTCTTTCAACGAAGGAAAAGAAAACACAAAAAGGAAGCAACATCCACTTCCTTCACAGTGAAATCCTTAAAACTATCGATCTCTGAAGCAAGCTAAGTCAAACTGCACCAATACTGTTGTCAGCATCTTCATGCCGGATCCCCTAAATTAGAAGTTGCTACCATTCAATAGTAAATAAGAAACATTTGGCAACCATCATTGCCTTAATTCCAGCTTTATTCAACAAAAACAAAAGTATGAATTGACTGAAAGAAAGCAAACGCTTTCTGGATGAGCCATTACGAATCACTTTCAGGATGAACAAGTCAAATACTTTTGCTAAGTGATCATGATCCTGAATGCTTTATATAAGCTGAATGTCTATCCACCAGCAGTGCAACCAGTGGCCTCTCAACTTCAGCCTCTGCTTTACTCTGGTTTCTTCGAACTACAATCTCTTCATTCTCTGCAACAACTATGACCTCCTCTTTACGAGTTGAAAGCTCATTAGCTACCACCAAATGTACTTTGTTCTTTTTAAGGGCCCTACGAGCCTTCTCTAAAAGAATCTTTGAATCAGTCTCTAGCTGCACAGAAGTGGAGTTTCAACCCACCAAAGAAAAGGAATGTAAATGATTATCCCAGCAACTAATGCTAGAAGATTACATGGAGTTGAACCAGAAATAGTTTATTTAAGGAAATACATCTCATTTTATCTGTATTACTGATAAGAGTCAAATTAAGGGTAACTGAATTCCTACCGAGAGCCGCAATTCAACATAAGAAGATGCAATGAAAGAGCATTTGTTTCTTTCATCACAAAAGGAAAAAAAAATTAATAAAAAAAATACCGAAGGTTCGTTCTTACTTTAAATGATATACAGAAGGTCAAAGGTGCCCATTCTCTCCTTAGTGCGGAAATCATTTTAGGCACTTGGGCGAGGCTTATGTCTAAAGGACCAGACCCTGACTGAATTTTGTGTACATTCTGTAACAAGCAGCCAAAAGTCAATGATTAGCCTCCTAGAGAACCAGTTGATAAATGAAGATGAAATCCTTCATTTTGATACTACACAGATCAGCAATGAGCATCTTTCGAGCAAAAACATGGATTACCATTTTAAGATAAGGTTCTGGACCATCAAATATGCTGATAACATAGAATGATGTCAAATGTTAACAGATGAAAACCAGAAAAGCAAGCAAGCAATTACCATAGTTTCCCAAGGAACATAAAAATCAGAGACAGCAGCGGCAAGATAGAACATAGCACTTGGTCCAAGGGTATTCATTGATGTAGCAATCAACTGTAACATCTGCCAAACATAGACAACCAATTCCCTTGATCAACACAATGAAGCTGATATATAATTCGATAAAAGAATTGTGATGATTGAGCTCAAATGGAGACTCGATCACACAATAGAGCATATTACAAATTAAATAACTGACCTGAAGATACTCGAAAATTGTTGTAAAAGAAAGTTTCAACAATCGTCCTCCCAGAACAGCCTGCATTTAAGTGAGATCTCAAGTGAATGTTGCCTTCACTCAAGTCACAGCAAAAAACTCAGAACATATACGAATAATACTCGGAAGTAATGATTATTCATACTGCACGATTCTCTTTGATGGCTCTTTTGACTTCTTTCGCAAATGACGGGTGGACTGCAATTTTAACAAAACACGATATTGTCCATCAACAAACAAGAAAGTCTTACAATTATCTTTCCCAAACAATAATAGGCCGATTCGTTAAAAAGAACATTTATATTGCATGAAGGAGACACAGGGAAGCAAAAACAAAGTATGACAAAGGGGGAAATAAGGAACATTTCACCCTATACAACATCCCCAATACAACGATTTAGATTCCTATCTACACATGATGGAAGCTGAACTCTGTACAAGACAAACACATGATTCATTTCCTAGTACAGACACTTGAATGATGGAATAATGTGCATAAATTGGTATAAGATAATTTAAATGCATAAACCGCGAACCTTGAATAGCTGTGTCATCAGAAGCATCGAAGCAATTCAGGAATGGATCATCAGGAAGAGTGCTACAGTATGGCTGACAGGTACCACTGAAAATGAAGTCCCACTCACATACATAAGACACATGAACATAAATAAGAATTTGTTAAGTAACAATTGAGACTTAGCAGGAGACACTGAAGCACACACCTTCGATACAAAAAGATGACAGAATAACCAGCTTCCAGAAAGTACCTGCAGACCCAGAAAATAACCTTGCGTCTCAAAAAAAAAAAAATGTACAAATTAAATTCAACAAAAACCCAGAATAATACAACCAAGCTGAAAAGTTCATTACTCAGTGGATGCAGCTCCCCTGCGGCCAGAGCTGAAATTGTCAATGTAGCGAACACATCGTTGCTCCAATGGAACAGTAGTACCTCCTGAAGTAACACAGACCACTCTGGCAGCTTTTCCGATCCCTGAATTTAAACGGCATCCCGGAATTAATCGAAACAGAACACAATTAAGGGGAAAAAAAAAAAACAGTTGGCCCAGAAGAAGGATTTTCCTCAAGATACAATTAATTAAACGGAAAAAAAGAAGACAAAAAGTTGAAATTGGGGGAATTGCCAGAAGAAGAAGAATTCTTGTGTATAAAGTCTTGAACTTTGGTGATGATCCCTTCACGGTCTTTCAAAGGAGGTGCGGAATCAAAGAAGGATTGGATTTCGGCCAATGAGGTTTCAATTTGTCCATCATCATCCATTAGGAGAATGAATTGTTCGAAAGAATTCACCACCGTGTGGGGAAGCTCCGAACTACGAACCGAAAGATGGAAGTCAAATGGATCTTTTTCTAGTAACCTGAGAGAAAAGAAATAAAAAAAAAAAAAAAAAAAAAAGAGGGGGAGAACTGAGAAGTAAACGGATAGCATAAACAAAAAGTGTGCAGGAATCAAATCTACAGTTCCTAGTTTGGTAGGGATCAGGGAAGCGTAAAAAAAAGGAGAAAATTACAAAAAGCGGGATTTGAACCCGACGTGAATCGAACACGCAACCTTCTGATCTGGAGTCAGACGCGCTACCATTGCGCCACGGATCCACTTGTTGACATTGAGCTCCTCAAAATGAATTTAATGTTATTTGGTGTCTCTCTCATTCCTCCCTTCCTCTAAGAAAAATAAATCTCATAATTTCATGAATTCTTTTTCCCCGGTGAAAGTAATATTTGATTTTTTGGTTAAAAATAAAACGTACATGATTTTTTGTTCAATAAAAAAAAAAAATTGTTCTCAGTCACAGATGCTTTTGATCGTTTTGGACCAAATCTTCAGCATGTATAAATTTAAATTCCCGTGTATGTATTTTTATTTATTTTTTACTTAGTTCTCTCTTCTTCTTCTTTTTTTCTTCCTTTTTTTTTTTTTTTTTTTTTTGAGACCGAAAGAAATTCATGAATTACTGCATCTTATGTTTAATTTTGTTGTCATTTCTGACCGAAAGAGAATACGATCACGAATCCTCATTGCACTGATTGGATAATGGAGATATAGCTTCATGAAATTGAAGAAAGCGAAATGGGAAACAATACAAGAAATAAAAACACTAAATCCAGAAATTAGCAAAATACTTGTGCTCCCAATATTTACAACACTCGATATCTATTGGAAACTAATCAAGACCAAATCACCCTTTCCAAAAAAAAAAAAATCAAGACCAAATCTAATACAGAAATTGGCACTAGCTAGATATGACATTCCACAAAAAACTACATGACAAAATCTGGATTGTGCATCAGAGCCTATATGATGACCAGCAAGATACTACTAATTTGAAGTAATCCATGGACTTGTAAAATTGGTAACGCAAGTGAATACGATTATGCTAAAAGTGAAATTCAAACTCTCGATCTTTATAATAAATACGTAAAAGTTTTATCACTCTGTCACTACTTGATGTCGATCGAATATGGATCACTTCAATTGGAGGGGACATGGTAATACTTCCCTTTGCACAAGCACCTGTAAACTATTGGGCAAGACTCTGCAAGTGAGCATTTGAAGATCACCATAACCCTCTTGCAAGGGAAACAAGGTCCACAAGCATGAGAACAGTCTGGTAATCTTGACCCTGTTGGATATAGCTGCATCCCAATTTCTCCCTTACCACCTAAATCCTGAACATTTTCAAATCACAAAATTTACTATGAATGATTTCTAACTCAAAATTAAGGCACAAATCAGAGTAATTAAACCACCTCTGGCGGGTTAATGTGAGGCGTTGAATCGTTCTTTTGACCACCTTTACCATTGTAATGACCTGCAAAATATTCAATAAACATTGATGTACAAGACAGAAATGTGCAGTGCAACTAGATTAATTCAGAATGGTGGAGCAAAAGGGCTTGGAGAAATTTTACTGATAGCGAGAATCATCAGCATGAAAATGAAGGTGGCAAGTGCCAGTTTGCGCAGTTTCATTGAGTTCTTCATTGTTCTGTTTTAATACTTCTTCTGTCTGCGGCGACGTGTAAACAAAAAGTTCAAAACATTAAATACAATGGTTGGACTATGGTAACAATTGTGTTTATATATAGGAGACGAAATCTGGAAAGGGATTTTAATGCAAGAGAACTACTTGATGATACACCTTCACATGATACTCCTTGGCTACATTAATTTCGAAAGATTCACAGGTTTTCTTTGAGACATTCAACCAGAAACATATCTAATAGTTTATTCATATCATACGCCCAAGGTGTTGAACATTGATATACTAGCATTAAATTTGATACAAGGGATTCATTAGTTCAACAAATATATGAAGACGGAACGGTATAGGACAAAGGGACAGGAAGAAGTATAGTATATTTACTGATCATGTACGTGAACAAAGATTCATGTTAAGCCTACCAAATTTAAGAAGACTTGCAATAAAGCGTGAAGGGGTCTCTGGCGTTGGGGTCAAAAGACTTTAAATGATGTGTCTTGAATCTTGATTCTGGTTTATTAAATTTTGCGCTTTCCATTTCATGCTCTCTGCTCAGATGTTGATCTCTCAATGACTCAATTCAATTAACATGTTTGTCGTCTCTGCTTGATGAAGTTATGGAACTGTGGCTGTGATGCTTAAGATCGCGACTAATTTTTTCATCTTTTTGTTTTTTTGCCTTGGCTATTAGACGACTAGGTTTATGTGGAGGAGGTGAACCGCGAAGACTCCAAACGTGCGACACTTGCTTAATGTAAAGTAGATATGAGAATTGAAAATTTGATTACTTCCTGTGTGGTTCACAAAGTTCTAAATCCGATCGAATTACTGTTCGTTCATGACCATTGTTACTAAAACAACAGAAATGTTTTAGTTTTCATCAGAACACCTGTTCAATCGGTCCGTTGAATGCAGCATTGCCCATTAAAGGCGATTCAAAAAATTTTGAATGTATTAATCATGCTGTCATATGCTTTACTGTTGATCAAAGTTTACTTTGGGGTGTGCCTGTTCTGTTTTTAGTGGTAACATGAAAGATGCTCTGTATCTGATTCGTTCTATCTTCAGACTATTGAAGATTGCTGACAATTTACATACAATTATATTCTGCTAAGGTTTTGTATCCGAACGATGACAAACACGACAATCATATTGGGACGAAGAAATATCTATTATCTAGCGTTGTGTAAGCTGTTGAGTGCTGACATTAGCCCTGTTGGCTCTCAACTTAAACCATGATCAAAGTTCCAATATTTACCCATCATCCAAAATGCGAGCAAATTACAATACTATGATATAGTTTTTCTTGATTTGTCATCGCCAAATCAACATTAGTTACAAAAAAAATTCCGAAATACAAAATTGAAGAAAAGATTAATTTGGTATTCATCATATATAATAAGATTAAGAAAAAAACCACCTCATACAGCTAATTGAATTTCTCCAAGTTCAAGCTCAGCAGCAATGTCCTCAAGTTGCTTCTTCACACTCATATCAATCAATTTGGACCCAGAATTTCCATACCGGATCGTGAATCCAGCTACAAGGGCCGGATCAATCACCGTCTTGATCCGAACATTTTTGGCCCCGGTTAATCTCTGGACCCCTTTCGCAATTTGGGCCAAATGCTGCGAGTCCAGCTGCACCACCGACGTCACCACCGCCAACTCGGTGTCCGTCAGCTTATTGTACACCTTCTCGTACTCCTTAACGATGTCGTTTAACAGCTCGATCCGCTTCATGTCCACCAGAATGTTCACGAAGTTCGCCACGTGGGGCTGCAGCTCCGCCGACTTCACAATCTCGTCTAGGACTTCGCGCTTCCTGGAATCGTCGAAGGTCGGGTTGTTGAAGAACTCGGATACTTCCGGGTCGGAGAAGATCCTCTCCAGCTTCTCCACGTCGGCGGCGGTTTGCTCTAGCGTGTTGTTCGATGTCGCCACGTCGGCTAAAGCGGAGGCGTAGCTTCCTGCGGCCGTGTCGGCCATGGTTGCGCCACCGGCGCCGCGGTTGCGTTTGCCCACGGAGGAGGAGCGGGGCTTGATTCTGAGCTTGGGGATTTTGATCCCGGTGGTGAAGGCGGAGGTGAGTGAGAGTTTACTCGTCTGGGCAGCCGGAATCTGGGTGGATAACGGAGTACGGCTACGAAAAGTGATCGGAGTTTGCTGGAGACTGGCCATTTCCGGTGGTTTTATCTCCGACGAGTTTGAAAATCCGTCAGTCTGTGTGAGTGTGGGCTAAAGAGAGGAAATGGATTCTGGGGAATTTTTGGCATTAAGTGGATTATTTTGGCTGAAAATGGACGGATGAGATGAAGGAATGTGAAGGAGATCTACGGCGGGAGAGGGATAGGATATCTGAAGGTGTATTGTATGGTTCCGTTCTGGTGGAGAAGGCTGGGGCTCTTATCTGGGAGGAGATAAGGAGGGTGCCACGTGGATGCCTTACATTTTCAGTCTTTAATGTCTACCACTATAAAAAATTTTATTAATGAATTTAGCCACAAAAAAAGTTTTTTCGACACTTATGGGTTTAGACAAGTAAATTAAGGGAAAATTTAGATAAGGAACAGTGGAGACTAAATAATTAATGAGGAGAATTATACTTTTGAATAATTTATATTAGATGTTACCTGCACAATGTGCGGGATTTATATATATATATATATATATTTACTATTAAAATATTTTAAAAAATATAAAATTTGTGAAATTAGAGTGACGTAATAGAATCATATGAATATTAATTATACATACATATTTTTTTTAAAAAAAGGTAAACATTGAATTATACTTGTATAATATAATATTATGCATTAAAATATCATTAAAAATTTTCATGAGAAAATGTAATAGTACGACAATTATGAATATTAATCGAGTAAAGAAGAGATAATATAATAATGATAAGAAAAGATAATAATGATTTGCATGCTGAAATGTTGAGGGAAATCACTCTTTCGCGTCATTTTCACCACTGATGTTTAACTACCTTCGTTCTGGAGTTCATATTAGGGTAAAAGTTCTTATGATTCGGCATCATATCGGACTAAAATGTAACCAATAGCATAAAGAAAACACAAATTTTCATTCGTCTTAGTATACCTTCAACTTATTTGTTTTATTTACTTTTCCTCGCCTGTGCATAGTTGCATTGAACAAAAAAAAAATAAAAAATAAAAAATGAAAAAAGATACAATTAAAGATGAAAAAAAAATACTTTTCTTCTGGAGGTTGACATTGATCGAGGAGCTTGAGGTTGTTTGTATCAATGAAGGAAAGGAATGAGAGTTTTTGATATTGTGCATGCGGATTATGGGTTTTCGGTTAATATATATAATATTTTTATAGAGTGATTTCTCACTATTGATGATTAATGGCTGGTATATTAATTTTAGAGATCAGTTCTACCGAGATTTCACAATTAAAGAATCACTTCTAATTTTGTTTAATTATTTTTGAATTTCAAAAAAGCATTAATATTGTTTAATAATCAAACCAATATGTAATCAAGTTAATCGGAAAATCTTTTCAAATCAATCAGTTTTAATGTTGAATTAAAGAATCATTAATAATTTGGTATTTATTATTTTCAAAATTCAAATAATCATTAATATTGTTTAATGATCAAATCAAGACGTAATGCCATTATTCAAGCCAATGGGATAATCTTTTTTAAATCAATCTTATTTAATATTGAGATTTTAAAAAATTTTCGTTTTCTTTTTAATTTTAGGGAATGTTAAATAGAAAGTTTACTACACAATTAATTAGTAGACTTTAATTAAGAATTGATAACAATTTCTTAATTGGAAATCCAAAGGACTATTAGTGTAATTGTTGTAAATATTTTTTGTGTTAACTTATAATGACACATATGATTTTGTCCTATGTGTCAACGGGAGGAGAAGCTTGATTTCTTCTCTCTGATTTCTCTCTTAGTATAATATATACTATAGATTAGGGACATAAATATTCTTTTGGGCCTTCAGTTATTATTCAAAACCTATTTACATCAATTTATATACTTGGAAAGTTCATTTGATTTATTATTTCTGTAAGCCTAATTATATAAAAATTTCACAGTTGCCGACGTTGAACACCCTGCAAATATCAAAAAAATAAAATAAAATTTCAAAGTGGTCAATGACCAAAAAAATACTAAAGATACAAAATGTTTAATATTCTTACATTAAAAATTTTCACTAATACGAAATATGGGAGTAATTCAATTAACTCTAGCAAAGTTGTATGGCTCGTTTAAGTTCAAGTATTTTGGGGAAAGAAAAATTCAACTACTGTGAAAGCAAAAGAAAAAAAAATACTTTTAAAAAAATAAAATTATATAAATAAAAAAATCTCCTATCAAAATTAAGAATTATTAACCTTTATTTTATAAAGTCAACATAATTAAATTTTTTTTTTATCATTTACTATGGTATTACTTTTTCCATATTGATACTAACATATTATCATCATGAAAAGATTTAATTTATTGTTGAAAAATCAAATGAAAAAAAATAAGAAGATTTTATTTCAAGATTCGCTAGAGTAATATTTATAGTGTTGAATTATTGTGCACCTAATACAAATTATTCAAGAATATTATTCTCTTTATTTATTATTTAATGTCCCTCATCCAACTTTTCCCATAAATTAATAAAAAAAAATATCAAAATGCTACATTTTTACCGCTTAGTTTTGGATGAATATTTATTTTCACCCGAAGTCTTAGTTCCATTACATAACCACCCCCCCCCCCGCCCCAAAAAAAAGGACCTTTAATTTAGTTGCTTTTTAAAGAAGAAAATTTATTTCTTTACTCCTCAATGTTTTTGGGTTTATTTTGTTATCATTTGTTATTAGATCCCTCCATTCTTTTTTATATATCGTTTAAGGGTTTAGCGAATTTTTTTAAAAAATATATCTTTTTCAAAAATCGAGACACATTTGACCATTTTTTACTAATATTATCCTTGCATTAGAAATAAAATAGTGTTTACGATAAATGTTTACTGGTCTGTGATGAGTTATATGTATAATAAATAATGGTGTCTTTTGGATTTTAACTACATTATTAATTAATATTTTTCTCAGTTTTGATGAATTCTCCAAAAAGACATACAAAAAAGAGTGAAAGGAGAACTTTTTTTGTTTTTTTTTTCTATATTTTAGCCTAAACTTAGATAACTTAGAATTATTGATATTTCACAGGTTTTTGTATCTTTTTATATTTTTTTTTTCGGTGAGCCCACTGGTATTTGTGTAGGCAAAATAAATGTAGCCAAATGTACCACGTAAAATGATATCATTTGGCCTACCAACAAAAATAGATTTGGCAATGGCAAAACTAGAGATGGGCGTTTCGAAATTCTCGTCCAAAAGTATATTAGTTGACTTTACATCTCTGTGGATAATTCTTGGGTTGTACTTGCGATGAAGATATGCAAACCCCTGACCAGCTTCAACAGTAATTCTCAATCGTGCTTTTTAGTCCAATCTCACTCCCCCAGACGGACCTGCAATAGAAGTAAATCCATGGGGAGAAAGAGAATAGCCTTGCAAACAGAGAAGGTTTTTGTATCTGGTAGTGCCTATAGTATTCAACTCACTCAAACTCATGCAATTTGCAGGGAGGTTAAGTGGATATTCGCTTAATTGCAATTGGTCGGGAATTTCTAAGTGCACACGTGTACACTCTGCCGGAGGCACTAGATCTAATAATGTACTTTTCGCTCATGCTTCACATGATATCTTCATAGGTATGAAGAGCCATATCCTTATATAGAACCCCAAGTTTTGAGGGTTCTGATTGCAAAATAAAAACTGAATCAGGCTTTTTCTAAGAATCAAACATGTTAAGAAAACAAAAGAAAACAGTTTAAGTTGAGAATCACCTAATGCTCTGCCTTGGCCTGTTGGATTTAATAGCAACAACGATCATCATGGACCATAGTGTAAAGAGGCCAAGAGTTACGCACACAACAACAATCGTAGGGAACATTGCTGCATTGAAAACATCATATGATTAGATAGGTTAAATAAAGTACATGTAGGGGGGGGGGGAGTAAAGTTTATGTGTAGCTTTTTGAGGAGGGTACGAAAAATCACTTCTATTAAGTATCGTAGTTAATTTTCTAGATACCTTAGAGATGTGAACAAGAAGAACTGCTAAATGAACCAGGTAGGTTTCTACCTAATAGCAGATTTCGAATAAAACTGAAATGGAGAGATATATAAATTAGTTTCAACTGAAGAAAATATCACTCGTTTCATTAGGGATACGATGAAGGCATAAATGATTTTTTCGGGTTCTTGCATTGAAGTTGAGGAAATGAAGAATTTGACAAGGATAACAACAAAAAAGAGGAAATAGGAGAAGATGTATTCAGATAATAAGTTATGGTATGAGTTGTATGATGAACATTTAGTCAAGGATATATATATATATATATATATATATATATATATATATATGCGCATTGAAAGATACATGTATGATCTTGTTAGATCATGATGTCATCACATTATATTGAGTATGATACGTATATTTTGAATAAACACTGTTCATATCTATATTAACATATAACTATGTGTACTTCAAAGTAAAAATAGATATATTTATTTTGCACAAACATTGCACATATCTTGCACAAATATTACCTATAACTCTACGTGTTTAAGGTAACAATAGTATATATGACACATTTGTTTTATATGAATATTTATCCACATCTTGTATGATCATTAACATATAACTCTATGTACTATTAAGGTAAAAAAAATGTAAGTACGTTTTGGGAATTAGTATCTATAATCATGAAATTCAAAAAATATATTGTAGGCTAACTTATGTATTGAATAATTTGGTAAGCTTTTATGTACATTGAGTACAATGCATGTGATTTTATTAGCCTTAGTTACAATATTATCAACTTAGGATAGCGTGTATTTTGTATGAACAATGTTATGGTAATGTATGATTACCAACAATGTCATTATTATAGGAATATTGATTCTCTTGAATTTAAAAATATAATAAGAAAAATTAAATGTTGAGAGAGATTTCAACAATGTAACATTATCTAAATTAATTTTTTATCCCATAATATATATTATATTAATTAGACAAGTACAACGAGAATGGTGAACAAGATTCACTGTCAGGATCAGTGAGTATCCATCATTGTTTGGTTTAATACACTAGTATTTAAAATATGGATGATTTATAACTTCATATTTTACTAGAAATTCTTAGTTGGGTAATTATTAATTTATGAAATTTTGAGGACCTATATTTATATGGAAATTCTTAAAAATCATTATCTTATAAATTAATCAAATTTTTTAATTTTTTTGTACTGCTCCCAAGTTGTTAGATAGGTTTTACTATAAATGCACTGAGACATAACAGTGGATAGAATAGATATGACTGTAGAAGACTTATTAAAAGGAAATAGGTAGGAGAATAAGTTAATTAATTAATGTAAGGAAATGAAAGTAGACAGATAAAAGATAACATAGGTTCACTTTGAAGCAG